CTTGGGAGGTTGGTGACCCCATCGGCAATCCTTTTAGCTGAGTGTATACTGTGTCGTTAAATTTAAAATATCTGTTCTCTTCGATGCAGAACTTAAGTATTTCTATGAACAGTTTCTTTGGTATATTTGTATGTTTCTCTATTGTCGTCCATTTATCTTTTATAATGTCAAGTGCTAATTGTGTTGGGATACTGGGAAAAAGTGATACTACGTCAAAAGATATTAATTTTTCATCGTCAAAAATATAGGTGTTATTAATTTTGCTTTTAAATTCCAGGGTATTTTTAATGTTGTATGCCGAAACAGTCGTTATATTTTTCAAAATGTCTGCTACATATTTACAAAGGTTATGTGCTGGTGATCCAATGGCAGAGCATATTGGTCTAAGTGGGATTCCTTCTTTATGTAATTTTGGTAGTCCATAAAACCTTGGAGACAGGTCCGTGTTTGTGGTCAGTTTGTTCCTCTCGATCTTTGAAATTAACTCCAATTTATAAATTTTATCGACTAGACTATTGTTTTTGCTCTGTAGTCTAGATGTGGGATCCTGTCTTAGTATCCTATACATTGTCAAGTCGTTCAATATATCTTCCATTTTCTTATTATAGTCACATATTTCCATTGCTACTGTTTTGTTGCCCTTGTCCGAAGTTAAAATACGAATATTATCATTCTTGCTAAGAAATTTCCGCGTCCGTCCCACTGTGTCTATTATTGCACGATCTATTGCACTTTGCCTATTTGTTGTAGTATGGTCTTTTATCAGTAAAGAGAATTTTGTTCTTGCTTCCTCTTGCTTCTCTTTGACTTTGATTGTTTGCACGAGATCCTCTCCATCCGCTATGTATTTAAATAAAGGGAACTGTTTATTTTCAATTGGGAGAGCAAACTTTGGACCTTTTGACAAAAGCATTTTTACATCTTGAGGAAACTCGACGTTTGTTGTGTTTACAAACCACTCTTCATTTTTGTTGTTGTCAAATAAGAGGTGATTTCGACTTTTTCGCAGTTTTTCATACTTCGCTTCTTGTCGTTGCCTCACTGTTGTTGTTAATTTTTCTGCGATTTTTGTTTCGCTTTGCAATAATATTTCAAAATCTTCCGCGCCAAGATGTTCCTTAAGTTTTGTTGTTATTTGCTCCATCTGCTGTTTCTGTCGTTTTAATATGTTGTGTTTTTGTTTTATTAGAAGACTTAGTATTTTTGTGTGAAAGTAATGTGTGTGTTTATCTAAGGTTCTGTCTATGTCTGTTTGTGCGTTACGATCAAATATAAATAAACTATTGCATCTAGTTGTACATTTTATGAAATTAGGAACTAACTTAGATTTCCTGCATTTTAAAAGAAATTTAAGACTACATTTTTGTTTTACCACTTTCTTTGATGTATATTGAAATTTATTTTTTAGTGCTCTAGCGTTGTTGTAGTTGTTCTTCATTTCTGCATACTCCATTTTTGTTGTTGAATGCATACGGCGTGCCTTCCGTCTTTCTAAATATTTGTTTTTGCGACCTTTTTATTTCCTAAATGTGTTTAGAAGCTGGCTTGAGGTCCGATGATTTTAAATTAAAACACAAGTTTTGTGATGTTAATCAATATATTTCGATTACACACGGTAATCGTCATCAGGATTTTCAACTACAACAAAATATAAACACAAAAATATAATAACAATTTACATACATATTTTTAACACAACAAATTGCAAAACAATAATTAATAATAATAATAATAATAATAGATTGGCGCTTACACATATGTTAGTGTTTGGCCGAGCTTCTCCTCCGATTTGTGGCGTGCGCCTTGATGTTGTCACACAAAGCGGAGGGACCTACAGTTTTACGCCGACTCCGAACGGCGATTGTATTTTTATGAGAAGCTGTTTTTCATGGCAGAAATACACTCGGAGGTTTGCCATTGCCTGCCGAGGGACGACCGCTGTTAAGAAAAAAACTTTTTTCTATATTTTTGCGATGTTGCTTTGACCAGGGTTTGAACCCAGGCATTGTGGAGTGGAAGCGCGCACTGCTTACCACTACAGCACAGCGGCCGACTGTACAATAATTACATACATTTATTTCTGCATCGAAGAGAACAGATATTTTAAATTTAACGACACAGTATACACTCAGCTAAAAGGATTGCCGATGGGGTCACCAACCTCCCCAGTGATAGCTGATATAGTCATGGAAGAATTATTAGAAAACACAGTTA